TAGGAATGGAGGGGAAAGGCTAGTGGAAGTGCCGTCAGCCGACAGGACCATGTGAACTGCAGTACTGATGTGTCTACCAGCCACCACTGTAGAAGGTATCAAGCTGGTTGACCACGAGACCTAACAAGGCCTGTTCCATAAGAACTCAAGCAAGGCCACTTATGATAGGAGTGTGGAACATTAAATATCATGGTTAACAAACTAGCATGCCCGAGTAGCAGCTCAGGGCTGTTGGGAATGGGGAACAACACAGTTTTGAAATGAAGGCTTCCTCTATACTTGGAACTGTCACGTAAAAGTCTAGCGTCAGTTACCTCCAATGTAGATTAAGTTTCATAATCCCGGTTATAGTTGTACACAGTTACTTGCTTCGCATTAAGTACTATTCAAGTTATTTGTAGTCAAATTGTCCAATCAATGAGAGGGTTCACTATATAATCTGTTCAGTATTTGTAGCCTGAACAAGACAAGCTGCTAAATTTCATTATGTGTACATGAGCACATGGGTTAGCTATGTATGCCACCGGGGTCACTGATCTGATTTATAGGATTGGTAGGGAATTAACGTTTCACGACTGACTTAGTTTAGCTATAATCACACAAAATATATTCTTGATTAATCTAATACTATATTATTCTGCATCATGGTAATAGATGTAGATTTTAGTACTTTACTCAGCTTACCTTCACTTGACAAATACATAAAGGGATTGTGAACAGATTGAAGTCAATACTCTAACGTTTGAGAGGTACAGCTGCAAGGCTGAGGGGGATCTGTTTAACCTATTTCTGTTTTAGATGTCCAGCCCTCCAAGGTTGAAGGAGGCAAAGTTGGCATTCTCCCAGCTCATTAGGCCTCATCAAGAAATCATGAATACAGCTGCATTTCTGTACTGGGTTATTTTAATTTGTTTTAGAAGTGAAGCAATTGACTAATGGTAGTATCTGCTAACACCCACAACCACGGGCAACTGTGCACACTCCTTAATCCAGAAACATGAACGTGCAGAGTTCGGGACCTGCTACATAAGAACATAAGAACCAGGGGCAGGAGTAGGCTATCTGGCCCATCAAGCCTGCTCCACCATTCATTAAGATCATGGCTTATTTTTTCATGGACTCAGCTCCACTTACCTGCCCACTCACCACAACCCTTAACTCCTTTACCGTTCAAAAATCTATTATGAAACATTCAACTGTGTCGCTTTAACTGCTTCACTGGGCAGGGAATTCCACAGATTCACAACCTTTTGGGTGAAGAAGTTCCTCCTCAACTCGGTCCTAAATCTGCACCCCCCCTTATTTTGAGGCTATGCCCCCTAGTTCTAAGTTCACCTGCCAGCAGAAACAATCTCCCTGCTTCTATCTTATCTATTCCCTACATAATATTATATAGTGGGAAATATCACAGGCAATTTCAATGCATTAAGGCTGCACTGCACATGTACAGAGAAGTGCGATACTGAAATGGGGTTCAGCTGCACAGGGTCTTGGCGAGGGCAGGGTGGGGGGGTGCTCTTTCCAGACAATCAAACACCACATAGGGAACAGAGAAAAAGGACATCATTTCACATCTGAGATTAGCAAATGATCAGTGATAAGAGAGTACCTGACCGAATGTGAATTCCACCAATTAAGTGTTATTTGAGACATCTCAAGAAAAGTAATCATTGAACCCTGATTATAAATAGCAACCTTTTCCCTAACAAAGATGTAAAAAACATTTGAAATCATTGCCTTAGTAAAATGTCATAATGTGATAATAAACAAACTGTAGTGAAAATGATGGGGCCACTGATAACGGACCCAGCCAGGAGATCATGGGAGATGACATCAGTCAACAGCCATCACCTTTAACAGGCAATTAGAAATCAAATATTCCTTAAACCAATCACCAATAAGCCTAACCTAACCTGGAGCAATCAGATTGCAATGATCCTGCTGTGGGCTGCAGTTTGGAAAAAATTAATAAGTAATACATTTCAATGATGAATCAGCATATCCATTTTGAAAGTGAAGTTATCCTGCTGTCCAATCAGAACCAGAAGTCCCTGAAAGTTCTGGAGGGAGACCAGAGATTGAGTGTTGATACGTGCCTTAAGCTGAACCAGAAAGCAAGAGATGTCCTATAACAGAGAAGTCACTGCCTTTCTTCAGTAGGTATTATTCATAAATTAAGTAAAGGTTCCAGAGTTACTGCACCAGACTGTTTCTTGTTGCCTTATTGGTTAAAATCTCAAAAGAAGAAAACAATATTGGAATTTCAATTTAAATTATAAAACCCAGAACTTAGACTGTAACCCAGAATTTAAAAAAATAAAATTCTGAATTGATAGAATAAGTGTCTAGAGCCAGTCAGTATTTATTAACGTATTACAACTGTCAGCTATAAACAAGCTTGTTAAGTTACAAATGATATTGAGTAAAACAGTGTTCAATGCTGTCGTAAATTTGAGTTGAATTAAAACCATGATAGCAAAAATCCAAGAATAAAGGGATCATGGAAGATAGCAATAAAGAACTTCCCTGTACCCAAATACACAATTTTCTACTTGAGGTGTGGAGAATAATATTGTCTTCCTATGTTGCATAGTACCATTGAGATTTCCAGCACCAGCCACAAACAGGTAGCATGCCATGCAGGAAGGTAACACTGCAAAACCATCAGCCAGCCTCAGTACCAATAATGGAAATATCCATTGCCCGGTCAGCAACTGGAGATAAACATATTGAACGTAAACTTAATTCAGAACTGTACAGACATAGAGAAGACAGGAGCCATAACCATGATAATGGATGCAAAAAAGTAGAAACTGGTTAATGCTACAGAGAGATCATCACTGTTAATGGGAACCTGTTGAACTTTCAAGTGGCTGGACATTAGCCATACAATGGAAAGCATTTATTCCAACCAGGTTGCCTTCCAACGAGACAATGTAACTGTAACTGTCTCATACTGTTTATAATAACATGACAAGTGATATGCATAAAGCATTCGCAACAATGTAGACTAATTAATAAGTTAGAAATTAATACAATTGCTGAATGACCAAGATGGGAATTAAATTTTCCAAGATACTTAGCCTTGATAATAAAGGATTTTAACTCAAGGAAGGAAAAGGATTTTAATTCAAAAAAAATCAAGATAGAGAATTACCTTGGATAGAGTTAGGGAGTGACAAGAGACTGAAAACAGTGAGTGTTTTCTAAAGGGTCCTTAACAGTAGTTAAACAATGTTGAAGAAAGAGAAAATCTGTGACCCTTAAAGGCAAGTGACAGAAACATTACGCCAACACTGTCGTCAACAGAAGACACAATAAACATTGCTGAAGTACTCGTGAGCCAAGGAATTAGTGAAAATGAGGAGATTAAGGAGATTAGTATTAGCGAAGAAATTGGAGTAATTAGCAGGGCTCAAAGCTGACAAATACACTGGATCTAATGGCCTACAGCTAGGGGTTTTATAAAGAGTGGCTACAAATACCATGCATTAAAACTTGCACTGAAAGAAACATAATGTTGTGCTGTGTACTTCTAATTCTGCAGTGCTACGAGGCACCTTAGTGTAATTGTTATGTCACTCAGCCAAAACACAAACTTCGGGATTATATGATCTAGAGACACAAGCTCAAATTCCTCAAATGCAGTATGTTAACTAAATTTTTTTTTCTTGCATAAAATAATCTAGAATTAGTTCATGGTGACCATTACCTGTCAGATTTTTACAGTGATGTCCTGTGTCATGAACACCCAACCTGCTTCAGTCTCTGGACATTGATAGCTTACACTTCCAGTCTGCAAACAGCACTCAAAAATCTACAGATCTTGCTCAATAAATATACTATCTGTACCTTCTCTCAAAGGATCAGGCATGCAATGCTATCTGTACTGCCCCAGTGGCTGCACAACAGCTTTTATGCAAGTGCTTTGCTGACTGGCCATTTCAAAGTATTTTTCACATGCACCCAAGCTCCTGTAAACCGCGATAATAAAAAGGTGAGCATTCCTACATATGTGTTAAAAAGAGAAAAGTTTTAATCCTTAATTGAGGTAGTTCCTGGGCACTAAGTAATTCTACCTGCAAAAATTTTATACAACTTACTAATAAGAGAGGACTGAATTTACCATTTTTTGATTTGGCATAGCAGCTTCTTTGCATTTAATTGTATTAAAATACAGCAAAGAACTGCAGATGATGGAAATCTAAAACAAAAACAGAAATTACTGCAGAAGCACAGCAGGTATAGCAGCATCAGCGGAGAGAAAGCAAAGTTAATGTTGCAGGTCCAGTAACCCTTCTTCAGAACTGACGGTAGCTAGGAAAAACTGGTACATGTGCTGAAGACGGAGGGTTGGGGTAAAGGAATAAGTAATAGGAGCCCAGAGAGAGAGAGAAAGAGAGAGAGAAAGAGTG